AGTTTTCTCTGGCTCCTCCTTCCTCCACCTGATCCGTTCCTGGTAGAGCTCTTCCCAGCTATTCCTTTGTTTATTCTCAGTCAACACTCCTTAGCAAAACTCTTTCTATGCAACTTCATCCATAACCACATGCTTTCTATTATTTTCTCTATGTTAATTAGACTTATCTCCAGCCCAGACATCTCTTCTGAGCCCCAGATTGGTACCTGACATAATCTTTCAGGTTGTTTCATGGTTATCTCTAACTAAGCCTCTGAAATCAAGTTCATTTCTTCTCAACCACCTACACCTGCACCTTCTCCTTCAGCATCCTCTATCGTAAAAAAAATGACATTCCTTTTCATTCTAGTCAGAAACCTGGGTTTTATTTTTGACTCATCTTTGTCCCTCATCCCAGACAACCTCCAAAAACGTCTTCAGTCTGTCTGCTTCTCCCCTTTCCATTGCTGTTCCTTACCTAAACCCAGGCTCCCAGTAGCTCTGAGAATCTCTCTCCACAGATTTCTAACAGCCCTCCTCTAGAGCACTTTTGCTCTGTCAACCCTCTTTCCCCACACAGTAGCCAGCTATAGTCATCTCTTCTTTCAGTTAATCAAAATGTATTAGCAAATACAAATCTAATTATGTTCGAGCCCAGTTTAAACGTCCTTCAATGGCATTTCAATAGGCACTTCAAAATAAGTCAATTGTTCCAAAGACTTAGGGAATCTTAACCACCCATAAACACATTCATGGTTTAGAGGTAGTTTTCTCATTGTAGGAATTTACTCCAAAGTTAGCTTATCCTTATTTTATATTAACTGCATGCAAAAAGTAGTGAAGACATCCACAGTGATGCCAGCGACCACACTAGAAACAGCACAGAAGAGCGCTGAGACTGCCTCCTCGTATCTCAGGGCGGTTGGTACCGCACACGGCATCTGGTGCAAAGCATGTCTTCAGTATCTGCAGTGTACATGATGTAAAAGGGAGAAGACTGTCATAAAGTTCCTCACAGAGCTGAAACATAACCCTCAGAAGCCAGTCTGGTTTTAAACTGAAGTCTACAACCAGGAAAATGTTTTCCCCCTGACAGCCAAACGTTTACTAGTCTTTGCATCTCAAATGAGCTGCAATAACCTATTCAGCAATGAGGGGAAAGGGAGAGGAATGAATGTGCCAGGCAAAGTGCCTGAGACCAGATGAGATATTTTTTTAATACAAAAGACAAGGTACCTTCCCTCCAGGAGCTTCCAGGCCACCTGGAGAGACGCAGTTGCCCAAATATTTAATATCTGATTTCTTGGCTGCTCTTTCGGACAAGGCACTGTGTCTGAGGTGTAAAATGGTAAGCAAAAACAGACCTCTCACTTCACATCTAATGTGAGATGAGAAACAGATATTAAACACTCACATGCACAAAAATAATAGCAGCAATCACTTATAATGCACATCAGCCATAGGTTTGCACTCTACATAGACTAACACAATCACACTCTTTGAAGGGCCTCCTCTTTTTATGGATCCAGGAATTTTGGCATAGAGAAGTTAAGACATTTGCCCAAGTCCAGAGTCTGGATCCAGGACTCCCCTTTTTCACCACCCACTCTGTCTCCATGTTGTGTGCTGGATGGCATAAGCAATTCACAAATATCAGGGCCATGAAGGGAAGAGGGACGGTGCTGTGAGAGCACGTGACAAAGGCATCCCATCTTGTCTCAGGTCATCTGGGGGCTGCATAATGGTAACCAAGCACAGAGGGGAAGCAGGAGGGCAAGGACACAAAACCGGAAGCAACAGAAGGGCAAGAACCATCTGGATATACTTCACTGGTGGTGGCGGGGAGCGATCTTGGGCGGCATCATGGAGGAGAAAGACTGGAGAAACCCATATAGTGGGAAGAGAACAGAGGAAAAGGGAAATCGTAAATTCAGAATGAACCTAATGAATTTTGGGAACAGAGAGACAATGACGTTTTAGAATCGTTTCAGTAGTGAGCAGCAGTCACTCAATTTGAACTACCAAAAAAAAACAAGGACATTACCACCCTGAGTTGCTGAAGAGGCCAGGATACAGATTTGGCAGCAGCAGGACAAAAGATGTTGTTTTACATTTCTCAGCTTTATTATTCTTCATGCAAGCAGTGGAAAGACAGAAGCTCTAGACACTATCATACCAGCTCAAGGGAGCACTTCTTTTCCCAAAGACCCGGGGCCAACTCTCATAGACTCAGCTTGTATCACATCCTCCTAGCTGAGCCAATCACTGTGGCTGGGCCATGCGGTGCCGTCACTGGCCTGGCCTAAATCATGTTCCTTCATCTCCTTAGTGCTAGCCTATGTCCCAACTGTCCACTTGTGTACTTTGCCCAGATTTTACTCTACACCTTCATATCAGCTGGCCTCTGTATGTGAAACACTTCTCCTAAAAATTCTCATTAGCTTGTCAGCATTTTCATTACTTTGCATCTTACCACCTCCAAACAATGTTTCCCGCTGAAAAAGACTGAAGCTACAATTCTTCAACTAATGCCTAATGCCCTTTCTGATTGAGGCCTGTGAATACCAACCTCCTAGTAGTATAAAAATATATTTAATTATTCATGAGTCTGACAAGATCTGCTGTGTTCAATTGATTTGTTGTGTCTGTAATTCGCTGAGTTTCAATCTGAATGTTTGTCTATATTGAACACTTGGGTTTTAGCCTATAGGCTGTTCATGCAAAGGATGCCTTGCTGACATAGCACTCAGTAATCCAACGATGTTCAATTTTTACTGTGTCAATGGCATTTTCAATCCTGAGGACTTTGCCATCCATTATGCTATAATGGCAGAAATTCTGAACTCTACTATGGTATAAAATTTCCATATTATTTAAGGTTCTGGATTAATGCTTTTATAGCGGAATGTCTGTGAAATCTGAGTCCTAAGGCCTGAGTTCTAACCTTGAGGTTGCTCCTGAACTTGTTCTATGACTTTCCTCAAGTATATTTGAAACCTTTACAGGTGTGAGCTGTAGCCTTCTCAGGTGGCACAGTGGTATAGAATCTGCCTGCCAATGCAGGAAATGCAAAAGATGCGGGTTCAATCCCTGGGTGGGGAAGATCCTCTGGAGGAGGAAATGGCAACCCACTCCAGTCTTCTTACCTGGAGAATCCCATGGACAGAGAAGCTTGGAGGGCTACAGTCCATGGGGTCCCAAAAGAGTGGGATGTGACTGAGCCACCGAGCAGGCACATACACTCAGGTGTCAGTTACCCTAACTGGCCATAGGTTGGGTGTTTGCTGTCTTGTTTTCAAGGAGTTCAGCCAGATTAGCACACCAGCTTCAGGTGTAACATATGGGTAACATGATGGAGGTAGGATGCTTGGTATCCTAAGTTTTTGTTTTTATTTTTAACTGACCTACAAAAGGCGATTATAACAGTATCTATTATCTGATAGTTTTGGTGGTGGCCAAGATCATGAATGTAAAGAGTATCATGACTGGCAATGGTAAAAAGTCAAAGTGAGCTACCATCATTATCAGGATCTGTTTGGAAATAAGATGTAGGCAGAATAACTTAAGCCGGAATTGATGTCTGGAAATCCATTAAATATCCAGAGCCAAGATGACCCCCAAAGAAACTTTTGCTCTCCGCTGTCTTATTTCCATCCCAGGTCCTAGGGACATTAACAATCAGTGGTCTTCAACTATTAAAGAGCATAACACTAAATAGATAATGGAGGACAGGAAGCAAGTATTTTCCCAGTATGGTCCTCTAGGTTAGATAAAAGCTATCTTCAATTATATAAAATTTCTCCTCTAATTCGATTTGTCATTAAATATATGGGTTTAAGAACTGTCAGGTGTTTCCCTCGTACGACTTCTCTGTTGAAAGCATAAAACTGCAACTTTGTATGAGAACTGTTTCACACCTTCGGAAATGGGCTCCTCCACTTCACAGAACAGAACCGCTAAATGGTGTAGATTCGCGCTTTGAGTCAAAAACCACGACTGTGTATGCAGGAAGTGCGTATAAGGCAATACAATGACCCTCTAAACCTAAAGAAGCTGGGTGGCCCCGAGAGAAGTAGGTTTTTCTAGAAGACGCGGAAAAGTTTCTTTTTCCTTCTTTCCAGATTCCATCACTCCCTGGACCGTCCCCAGTCCTTGTCCAGACCCGAGACTTCCCCTTTGTACCTGCTACAGTCACCCACTGCCCGAGCGCGCCTCGGCCCAGGCTCCCGTCCCCTCGACCCGGCTGGCCAAAGGCTCTCGGCACTCCCGTGTCCTGGCCCAGTTTACTTCGTGGGTCCCCGCCGGTGCCATCTAGCTGGAAACCCGGAGAGAAACGAAAAGTTGGACGTAGACACCCCTGCCCCTTGCCTCCTCCACTCGCCCGAACGTGAAAACTCGGGGCTGCTGCGGGCCGCGAGGCCGGAAAGAACTAGTGAAGAGAGAAAGCGGCCCCGAGTCCCCAGCCCGCGCGCTGCACCTTCCGCCGGCCGACACCCAGCGCGGGCTCGGTCCTCGCTTCCCCGGCGGGGCCGCGGAAGGAGGAGGCCGCCGGCAGCTGCGCGAGCCAGGGCCTGGCCGCGATTTCCAGCCCGTTCGGAGTGAAGCGGGACGCCGAGAGAGAAAAAAAGAGAGAAGCCGAGCCGGGGCGGCCGGCGGAGGCGGGAGGAGGAGCCGCGGAGACCCGGGCCGGGCCGGGGCCGGAGCGCGGCGCGAGCGCTCGGGGAGCGCGGGCTGCACGCGGCGTTTGGGCCGCCCCTCCTCCCGGCGCCGCCGGCCGCGGCCCAGGCTCCCTCGCTCTGCCACTCCCCGCCCCTCCGCTCTCCCGCCCGCCTCCCGCCTTCCCCGCCTCCTCTCCTCCCTCCCGTCCTCCCTTCTCCCAGCCAAACTGAAAGCCGGACCCCAGGCCGCCTCCGCGCCGCCGCCGCCGCCGCGCCCGGCCTCCCCGCGAGCGCTCCACCATGGCCGGTGCCGTTTTCCCCTTGTAAAGATGGCGGTGCGGGATCGCTGTAACCTTTAGACTAATGACTGTCCGAAACATCGCCTCCATCTGTAATATGGTGAGTGGTCGCCGCCGCCGCCGCCGCCGCCTCGAGGGTCGCGCCCCAGGCGCGGGGAGGCGAAGAAAGGGAAACCCGAACTGCACGCCCGGCCAGCGGCCGGTGGGGGTGGGGGCGGCGGGGGCCGCGCGGCGCCGCCAGAAGTTCCCGGCCCCCGGGCTGGGCGGGCCGGTCGCGGCCCCGAGAGCTGCCGGGGGAGGGGCCCAGAGCCCCCCGCCCCCTTCTCGGCCCCGGGACCCGGGAGCCCGCCCGCGCGTCCCTGCGCCGCTACGCCTCCGCCCTCGGGTTGCGGTGAAGCGTCTTGGGGGGAGGGGGTAGGCCGAACCCGGCCGTCCCGGGGGACCAGGTTGGAGGAGAAGCTGGGGTGGGTGGGGGGACGCCCACCGTGTTCTTGCCGAGGATAAAGCCCTGCCGGACTCCCTGACCGCCCTTATCTCATTTTTGAGTTCACTCTTTTGAACTGTATTTAAGATTCACTTTGCAGAGGCAATCGCTGTGTCTGGAGAAATCTGAAATGTGATAGAGCTGTAAAAAAGTGCAAAATTGTGGCTAGGGGAGTGAACTTCTACCTGGTTTGGGAAAGCACGGTCATTTGTTGTGGATGCCTCAGTTTCCCCATCTGTGAAAGGGGGACAAGGTCATAAGGCAGTGACATTTAAAGGTCCTGAGGGTGGGAGCCGGCTGGGGGCATGGAGGAGGTCTCCAGGGTCATCCTGCCTGATTCACTATAGACCCAAGTGTGGACCGGTGGGCGTGGACGCAGCAAGAGGACATTGCTGGGCTCCGGTGAGGACGGGGCCCATGGCATCGTGATTACTTTCACTTGTATTTCTGCCATTGCTTTGCCTTCTTTCTCAGTTTCTGCAGGAACAGCCTCCAGCCCTAGGGTCCCCAGGGTGCCTCCTGCTGATACCTCCACTTGTCAGAGCCTTAGGGAGCACGGCTTGCCCCCTGGAGTGAGGCACTGCCTTTCTGTGCACGAGAGGGTGCAAGAGGTGCAAGAGGGTGTGTGCTTTGCCTTGACTGTCCAAGGACCACCCCCGCCCCGCCCCCATCCTGTCTCCCCTCCCTGCAACTGGATGGAACACATGCTCTTTGAATGCCAGTTTGGGGAAACCTCTCTCAAGCTAAAGACACAGGCCGCCAAAGGGAATCTGAGGAGGCTTGATTGAGAAGACTGGGAGTAAGGTGATCTGGCTACCCTCCCCCCATCACCCAGCTTTTTAAATTTCTGTCCCACATTCTCCTGCAAGATTAACACATGGGAAAGGAGCATTAAGGAGCCATGTGTTACTCAGGGATGGAATCAAGACCCACTGGCGCTGGCTTCAGTTTTCAGCGCTGTTGGACATGGCTTCTGCTGTGGTGGGCAGAGGAAAAGCTGGGCCTTCCCGGAGTGACAGCTGCAAAGATACTGGCGCGGGACCAGTTAGACGTGGTGGGTGGCTCCTGGCAGGTTTCCATTTCCTCTCTTCCTTCTCCACGCGGAGACAGGTCCCCTGCTCCCTCCTGTCGAGTGGCATTAGTGTTGCTTGGTGCAGTGAAAAGGTGATGCCTTTCTTCTCGGTTTCTCTGTCTGAGGGGAGCTGAGAAACCAGAGCAGCTCTAACACTCTCTTTCATGCCTGCTGGGGTGGCTGTGGGCTTACAGGGCAGTGAAGCCGTCCGTGGTGGTGTTCCTGTCCCGCTTGTGTGTGGTGACACCTCTCTGTATTGGAGCAGGCTGGAAACTGGAGAGCTAGCGTGTGCCAAGGTGAAACCACCCCCAGCTTTTTTTCTTTTCTGCCCTCAGTGCAGCTGGGCCTGCTTGGCACACCTGAGCAGAATGTCACAACCTGTTTCCAACAAAACTCAGCCAGAGAGGCAAGCTTCAGGGCAGACATGAGAGAGGAGTGTGCTGTGGAGAGTTGACGCCTCATGTGAAGTTCTTAAAAAGGCCCCAAACTTAGGATCATCACTCAAGTGAACTCGGGAGTTGTAATTCCGATATGGACCCTGTGCCTCGAGTAAGGGATATGAAGAGTTTGGGCTCTAAAGTCAGACTTCCTGGGTTCAGGGTTTTGGTTCCGGCATATACTAGCTTTTTGTCCCGGAATCAGTTGCTCTGTCTCCTGCTTTCCTTGTCTGCAAGAAGGGGATGATAATGGTTCCTACTCATGGGACTGTTGTATTAAAGGAATTACTGAGCCTACTATGGAGCAAGTGCTTACTGAGTGTCAGGTGTTGATGATCAGCTTCATCTTTCTCATTATTATGTCACCTTCAGTTGTTTAAAGGACAATGTCTTCTTGGACTTGATGGAAGCAGCTGCTAAGATAAATGCTAAGATAAATGCTTGTTTATGCAAACCAAGCCCTTACAGGGAGACTGGGGTGGGAGTCCTTAACCCCGCCCCCTTATATAAGGCTGCTCAGGTGCCCTGGTCCCTCCCAGTCTTGCTTCCCACAGAGGAGGCTCGGTGATGAGGATACTGCTCTCTTTTCACTTGTTTAGACATACAGTTTCATTGGACCTCCCTTTAGATTCTTCACTCAATGATGAATTGTTTCCAGGTAGGTCTTCTGTGGGTCTCTTCTCACAGCTTCTTTTCTCTCTGGGGCTCTAACTGATCCTTCCCAGTCCCAACTCCATTTGGTCCCAAATGGAGTTGTTTTAAGAAGTGACAGTTGGTCTTTTTTTTTTTAAAGTAGATCATCTGGCATATTTTAAACAGGCTGATGTGTGTCACAGAAACAGTGATAGAAGGTACATCCTTCTAGATAAGGCTTGTGCAAACCAGGACCTAGTGCTGAGTCTGGATGTGTTTTATCCAGCAGACAAGAAAGGACCCAGCAGAGCAGGAAAAACCTTGTTGCAAATCCTTGTGTGATTGAGAAATAAACATCTCTTTTCCCTACACTTCCTCTGCCAGTTTTAGATATAGGGGTCGTGGAAAATACTCACATCCCTCTACTTCTACCCCCGAGGTTTTATTGTCCATTGGCAGTTTAATGCGAGTTCCCATTTGTCTTAATTTCACTTCGTGTGAATTCCTGCCATAGTGATTCTTGATCAGCTTGTTGAGGGCTTGTCACCCTAGCTATACAGCGTGTCTGGTTCAGAGATAGTAAAGCTTGTTTGGCTGGTATGTTGTAATTTTTAAAATGTATTAGCTGCTACCAAGCATGAGGAAATGTCCCTTGTTGATAGTCTTCTGATTTTGGCCAGGCTAATGGATTTAAGTTCTGTAAGTGAAAGGTTTTTTGGGGGTAGATTTTCTGTTTGAAAAGCCTGAGGAATTTTCTAAAGAGGAAGCGTTTGTTGGTAGAAACCAAATGTGCCCTCTAGAAATGTGACTTGTACGGGTGCAGATTGGCCTAAATCATCAAATCTTAATTTCGTTTGTGAATAGTGCTGTAAAATACTCCATGGAGGAAATGCCTTGTGTCAAATAGATGACGTTTTGTTCCTGAAAATGGCCATCTGTTGAGGATCTCTGTGTTAGTGTTGGCACATATTATGTGCAGGTGTGTTATTGAGTGAGGTGAATTGCTGTCCCCAAGGAACTCAATGGTTTCTTTTCTTGTGGGCATAACATTGGTAAAGACGTAACTATCTCAATACAGTGTGATATCCACACGGGTGAAGATTGAGCAAAATCTCAGAAGCAGTACAGTAAACTGATGATCACAGCAGGATGTTTCTTTAATAAAATTTGCATTTGACTCAAGTTTGATTCTTTTATTTTCTGTGATTGTAGTCAGAGGAGCTTAGAACTTAGAACTGAAATCTATGCTATTTGGTGTCTCTCCAGCTAAGCCTGAGCTTAATGGTGCCATCGAACAAATTGTTGTGTTTCTTGGGACCACAGTTTCTTTCTCAACTTGTAGAACTGATGTGTATATATATGTATTTGGTTGTCAGAAACTTCTTAGTGAGTAGTAGTTCTTAGATTCTTTCCTTGAGTACTTAACTACTATGTTTGAAACTGTGTTGAATTTACCAGATATTACCATTTTAGCATCCATTGAACAACCCCAGGATGTTATTGCGCACCACTGTGAGTGCCAGATTTGACTTCTTTTAAATAGAAGTCACCTCAATATGAAGGGAAAGTAAAATTACTAGAAATTTGTAATAAAGCTGGAGGACATTTATAGAGATCATTTTATATTGGAAAGTCAATTACTTATTTGAGGCAGGCATTTTTACAATAGTTGAAAACGTTTTTTGAAAATTATTTAAAAATACGTAAACCTCAAAATTTGAGAGAAGAGATGACTGTGCCTCTTCCTCTTGTTACTGTTACTCCTTCCCATTGTCAAAGATAACTGGAGACTCTTAAGTTGAGTTAATGAATCAGCTAGGAGAGGTTAAGGTCACGTGTGAGTATCTACACTGATAATCGTCAGATTTAGAAATTGCAGCCTGAGGTGGGCTGGGTTAATGTTTAAAAAAACATTCTGTTCTTCTGGCCTCTTAGGTCTAACATGAAGGAGTGTGTGTTGGGGTCAGGACCTGACAATTAGGTCTACAGATTCTTCTCTGTTTTTCTTGGAATCATATGGGAAAACAAAGCTGAAAGCTGGTATTTAGTTAGAATTAAATCTTTCCTGGTGGCTCAGACGCATCTGCCTACAATTCGGGAGACCCGGGTTCAATCCCTGGGTCGGGAAGATCTCCTGGAGAAGAAAATGCAACCCATTCCAGTTTTCTTGCCTGGAAAATCCCATGGATGGAGGAGCCTGTTCATGAGGCTCCTCATGAACTAGGCTACAGTTCATGAGGGTGCAAAGAGTCGGACATGACTGAGCGACTACACTTTCACTAAAGATTGTGATAGCCTCTTCTGGATATCAGCTTCGTGTGTTCCAGTTCACCCAAACAATAAAAGCTATTTATTTTTCAGTAATGTGGAATTTTGGTGTGTTTGGGTAGTAACAAAGTAAATTTCAGTTTTTATTCTCTTGAGCAATTAAGAGAAAACTCTCTAAATTTCTCTAAACAAGAAAGTTCACATGT